CCCCCCCGGCCTCGCGCGCGCCCCCCCCGGGAGGTCTGCCGCAAGTCCGCCGCGCTCTCGGCGGGCCCGGCCTGTCAGTCGCTTGGCTCTCAAAGGTCAGCCGCTCGGCCGCATCGCCTTTGTGGGAGGAGCTTGCCCTTTTTACTGCTTTCGGAGGTGGAGCCAGTCTTTTGAATGCATCGTCCGGGACGTCCCGCTCGCCATCTTGGGTTTGTTTCTCTCCAACAGGGAGACACTGCGTACACGGCGCTGTGAAATCCAAGAGGTTGATGTCCACGTTTTGAGCGTTTTTGACAAGGAACGCTCGCAGAGAAGCTCTTGATCGAAACCTCTGCCCGTGGGGACTTCAAAACAAAAACGTACGCTTGGTTGGGCAGCGCAGTGCCGAGTCAACGCGCTTGGCTAGATGGAGGCGATTACCTGCAGATGTACACGTCCGCTTTTCCTGCCGTCTTGCCCGCTCGACGCCGCCGAACCTCTCTGGTCCAACCTTCAGGCAGTGGGGGCTGGTGGCAGCACGCACATCCATCCATCTGGGTTCCACTGTGTACGTTTCTAGCTGGGCATACAAAAAAAAAAAAAACAGAAACGAGTGCAACATTTGCAGTTAAGTTCAGGTAAGGAATTAAAGCTGGGGAATTTTGGAAAGGTCGTACACGAGAAACTTTCATTGTAATTGTTCCATCCATCCATTTGCTGATCCGCCGTATGTCGAACCAGTTTGGACAAAGAGTACAGATACATGCCAAGAAGGCCTTCAGTCCACACGCACGGTTCGTACGAAAGCGCAACTCGTGCGCCAAGTACGAAGGGTTGCTCAATTGCGGTGCGCCTCTATCGCCGCAGGGGGGCACTATAAGGTCCCTTAGCGTTTGTCGGGGCAGAATGGCGGACGAAGAAGAGCCCTCCCGACCCGCGGCTGTTTTGTCGCTAAAATTGTTACGAAAATCCTTAATTTCCCAAGACCTTCGCCTGAAAAGCAATCGGTTCTAAATGAACTTACTTTCCTTGCCAATCAGCAGCAGCGGCGAGTGGTTTGATTTCAATCGATTGGCGATCCCGTTGAGCATCCCGCCAACTGCTTTAGGGAGACAGCTTTGACGTCGGGAGCGAGCAGGAAGCAGGAAGTGTGAAGCAGGAAGTGAGTCTGCGTCTGCGCGCCCCTCTCCCCGCCCCCCGGGAGTCCTGACTGAAGAAGCCAACATGAGCAAGTGAGCGGGCAAACAACCTGTGGATCCAAATTCGAGCTGGAACCTGTCAAGAAATGAGAGCCGTCTTGGTCTGGAAAGAAACAACACGTCAGCATTGGTGAGCGTCTTTGCGTTGCGTTTACGTCATCGTCATTAGCGGGCAGGATGCGAAGCCGCGCGATTAGCAACAGCGGTTGCTATGCCAACCGCTGCTAAGCCAACTAGCTCCTGTAGGTTAGCACGGCGCAGGACAACTGACACAAACCCGTTTGCTAAATCACAACGGTTGACCCCGTAGGAATGCTAGTTTACACATTGTGCTTTTTTGGTGACACAATCGGACGTTTAGTCAGTGCTAACATTGAGAGGCTAGCACGTTCGAGTCAAGGGGGTTGTCACATGTACGGTTTGCGGGCCAGATCGGGCCCTCCATGTCCATCCATCCATCCATTTTCTACACCGATTATCGCAAAGACGGTCGTGGGGAGTTCCCGGAGCCTATCCCAGCTGACTTTGGGCGGAAGGTGGACTACACCCCTGAACTGGTCGCCAGTCAGTCGAAGGGCACATTTAGAGACAAACAACCAGTCACGGCCACATACACACCGTCACTGAGTGGGAGCTGATGCCACGCTTCCCGCAATCAAGTTCGGCGAGTGTACCACTAATCCATCAGCGACTGCCCTCCACATCATTGTTTGGCTTTTTTTTTTTTTCTTGACTTCTGTTCCAAACTCCCAAACAAAAGTCCAGCCCATAAGTAAACACAGTGACGCAAAGCTTCTGCTCGTGGATGGCTTGCATTAATGCCTTTGGCAGAAGGTCACACTGGTCAACTTAAAACAGAGCCTTCTGAGCCCTTCAAAAGTAGCCCTTGCAAGTCATCATGAATGTCATTGTTCGTTTTTCATGGCACCGTCATTGATCATGTTCAGACTGGCACTTTTCTGCATCCTTTTCTTCTTCAAAAGTAGCCAAGCGATGAATATTGCATGTTCCGAATCACATGCTCAGGGGCTTTCCCCCGAGCAGGCAGTCTGGCGTGCCAAAACATGCTTTAAAGATTGGAAGTCGGTTTGGTTCCAGAGGTGTGACTGTGAGTGCTGGTTTGTTGTGCCCTGACTCTTGTCCCCAAAAGACCAGGGATCGGCTCCATTTCATGGAGTCACAGGCCTCATAAGAGAGATGTTTCAATATGCCCACCTGGAGGGTCGGTGGAGCTCATCGCAGCCGACTTAGGGCAAAAGGCAGACGACGTGCCGGGCAGGTCGCCACTGAGTCCGCAGATCGTTCAAGTCAGGTCTATGATCAGGCCCCTCCATCGGTGACAAATTTCAAAATGACATCACTGCCTTGAGCCCGCTCATTCATGTTCTCACTTCCAAATTCTGCCAAAGTTTGTCACTTGATGAGCACAGCGGTGATGAGGGCAACGACGACACCAGTGCGGCCCTGCTCTTGCTTAAAACAAGCTGGACGGCCTTGCTTCCAGCAGCCACTGCGAATGCACACGTCGCAATTGCGGTGGCGTTTTCAAATCAAACTTCAAGAGTTCGAATTGCATGCCGGCGTTTCCTTGCCGTGTGATCGATGGATAGCCCCGGTCATCGACTTAACATTGTTCCGTCTGTTTTTCCGCTGCACGTCTGAAGGAAAGTGTTCCTGTTGAGCGCAGGTTTCAATCCGACTCTTTCCTTGCAGTGTTTATGACCTTGCCTTCAAGCCAGATGGCACTCAACTCGTAGTGGCGGCGGGCCTCCATGTCCTGGTAAGTTGTGACGCCTGCCGTGCTGCTGGATCAACAGCGGTTGAGTTGCCGGTGTCCAACTCAAGGCCCTGGAGCCGGAGCCGGATCCGGCCCGCAAATCGTGTGTCGACTTGGATGAACCTCGCTAAAATCTGTCCCGAAATGTCAAATTGTCTTGTGTCATAAATAACACAGGTAATCAAAAAAAAAATCCGACTCATCCATTCTTTTGTTTATTAATAATGCGATGCGACGATTGAACATTTTTGCGGATTCACTGTCACAACCTTGCACCCAACGTTCCCTCTCATTTTCCATCCGTCTGAGCATTCGCGCTCCTCGGACATCAGACGTGCGCACGGCGCCCAAAGCCGTCTCCCGCCTGTCCAAAAGCTGCATGAGCTGAAGTAGGGTGTGATGAAGAAAAAAACAATTCAAATGACCTTGATCTGGAAATAGAACATGCGATGCAACGGCAGCGTCACTGTATGCGCCGAGACGGTGAGAGAAGTGTGCAACTGCTCACGCGCGCAGCTTCGTGGCAACATCGATTGCGCCACAATTCCACACTGATCAGTCGTCGTCCAACCATGAACAGCTGACGTTTAGCGTTCTGTGTCGACCGCTCCCAGGCAAACCGATCTACGTATTCTTTCATTGATTTATTGACGCTTGTACGCTCTTGTTTGACGATGGGGCTTGTCCGCACTCCCGTTTTCTCCCTTGGAAGTCGTCTTTCCAAAGTGCCGTCTGAATCAAATGTATTTCGGCCTCCTCGCCTGATCGATCCATCAAGTGTGACTTGTCAGCTCCTTGCCAAATGCTGTGTCTGCGCTAGGTGTACGACGCCTCGGACGGAACCATTATTCAACCTTTAAAAGGACACAAAGATGTAGTCTACTGTGTGGCTTATGCCAAGGACGGTAATGAACTCATTTGTCTTTTGCGATTTGTATTTTTATTTCTTATTATTATTTGTTTTTGTCCCGGCCGCTCACTGTCGTCTTGCAAACCGCCTTTTTGTGCAGGTAAAAGGTTTGCCTCTGGCTCAGCAGACAAGAGCATCATAATATGGACGTCTAAGCTGGAGGGTATTTTGAAGTACACGTAAGTGGCATGTCATTCCGCCTTTGCGTCCAACGCAACGTTCAAGTGGGAAACGCTGGCGTCGCCGTTTTGAAAATGTGACTTTGCCGCTCGTTGGTCTTTCCCTTTAGCCACTACGACTCGATCCAGTGTGTTGCCTACAACCCGGTCACTCACCAACTCGCATCCTGTTCCTCTGGCGACTTCGGTCAGCGCGCGTTGAGTTTGCGTCGCCGCCGGGCTTCCTTCCGAAGGATGTTTGGAGAGCGTCACCACCGTTCTCATTTGCCGTTGCAGGCCTTTGGTCGCCGGAGCAAAAGTCGGTCAACAAACACAAAGTGAGCAGCAAGATAACATGTTGCGGGTGAGTGAAGGGGGCTTCCGTCGGCTTCCGTCGTCCACTTGCATCAAGCGCGTCTTCGTATTGACGCGTTTCGCCGCAGGTGGACCAACGACGGGCAGTACCTTGCTCTCGGTATGATGAACGGAGTGGTGAGCATTCGCAACAAGAACGGCGAGGAAAAGGTCAAGATCGACCGCTCGGGAAGCTCCGCCGCCCCCGTCTGGTCCATTGCTTGGAACCCATCCAAGTGAGTCTCGTCCCGTCCGCTTTGAGTTGGATGAAAACGGGCGCGTTTCGGGAGGGCGGTTCCACATCGGGCCAGCAGGTGGCAGCAGATAGCCAAGGATCCTCGGCCCCGCTGAGGCGCGACTCAGGCAGTGATTTCAGTGACGAGAAGTGACAACCATTTGCGATTGCGCTTCAGTCCGGTTTTTCAGACACTTCAGCTACTAGCAAACTTTTGGAAAAGGCAGCGCCACTTCCCAAATGACAAATGATGACAAATAAAGATGAACAAATGCTCATCATCTTTGCGAAGACGTCGATGATGTGAATGATTTTCCACCATCGTTTTCAAAAATGATTTCGAAAGGCAGGAAACCTTCGCTCGATCTCGAACGTGTTTCCATTTTCAAATGACGACGACGACGAAATCGCAATGTCTGATCCCTGGTGAGCTCACGTGCTCTTTGGACTGTCGGTGACCCCTGCCATCGAAACGTCTCCCGAGCGTCTCCCGAGTTGTTTCCCAGCCTCACGCCTGTCAAAGTATCGACCGTATATTGGCCTGCGAAAAAGACGTCACGCGAGCATCTGTGGTGAAGCGCCGTATTTGTCCCCCTGCTAACTAACTAACACGTGTTCTTCGCTGTGCTTCCCGAGGGACGAGCAACATGACGTTCTGGCCGTGGCCGACTGGGGTCAGAAGCTTTCCTTCTATCAACTCAGTGGAAAGCAGGTGACTGTCCCGAGTGGCGTGACTCACCCTCCGTCGTTTATGAGTGCGAGAAGGGAGCAACGGAGGGTGGCGGGGCTGCATAGTGAAAATGCACAGAGACAGAGGTGAAATTTGACGTCACCTCCGTTATGTAGCGTACAAAAGTCCAAAACAATGCGGTTCCTTGGTTCCCTGGTTTCCTGTTCAAAAGGAACGGACCGGCTGTGATTTCATGGCCCCCTCGCCGTCTCGCCTTGCCTGGCTCCTGAACTCCCCAAGGGCAGCGCCGTCATTTGAACACAACTCTGCACTGTTCATGCCACAGGCTCACATACTGTTGGCGGTCTGCCTACCTGCCCATCCATCCATCCAAATATGTTTATTATCCCCCCCCCCATTCAACACGCAGCTTTGATTATAAAGCCAGGAACTGTGCACAGTGCATAAGAATCATCTGTGGGTTGTCGGGCTGTGTCGTCCCCCCCCCCCCCCCCCCATGCAATGAGCACACCTGGTGGTCCCCCCCCTTTGACAGAGAGGAGAAACAGATGCGTCGAGGGGTGTAATTAATAGCGAGCTGCGCATGTAGGCTTTGAACACGAAGGTAGAAGCGACTTCAAACAAAGATGCCCTTTGTTATTTTTGTCCAATGCGCTCTTCTGCTGATCTTTTAAAGCGACTCTTCAAAGGTTGGTTGGATGTGGTGTTGACTGCGAATGGCGCTGGCCCAGATGGTGGGAAACGCCGGGCGGGGTGGGGGTGGGGGGGTGCGATCAATCAAAGGGGTTCCTTTTCACCCGTCTCTCTTTTTGTCTGCGTCAGATCGGAAAGGACAGGACTCTCTCCTACGACCCGTGTTGCGTCAGTTACTTCTCCAAGGGCGAGTACATCGTCATGGGCGGCTCCGACAAACAGGCGTCCCTCTACACCAAAGACGGCGTGCGACTGGGCGTCATCGGCGAGCAGAATTCCCGGGTGTGCGCCTGCCGGGTCAAGCCCGACTCCAATTTTATGGTGAGGCTTTTTCCCGCCGGTGAATTGCTACCTGCACATTGAGCAGTGAAGAAGAAGAGGTGCAACGCGGATGCGCCAAAGCAGACCGGCGACAATTTTTGAAACTGACGCAGCAAGCACCTTTTCTAATGACACAGTTCCGTCCTACGACGGTGGTGTGATTGAATACGAACACCTTGGCAGCTTGCTATGTGCTCTATTTAGTCCTGAGCGAAGAGGCATTACGTAGAGAATTGAGTGCTGAAAGGTTCGGGTTTTTTTCCCCCCCCTTTCCCTCTGTGTGGATGTTCCAACCACAGGAACATTCTCCCACCCTCGCAGTCTTTTCCTGGATGTGTTAATGAGATGCGCCGCGACATTGTGGTGTCTTCTGCAGGTGATGGGCTGCCAAGACGGGACGATCGCCTGCTACCAGCTCAACTTCAGTACGGTTCACGGCCTCTACAAGGATCGCTACGCTTATCGAGACAACATGACCGATGTCATTGTCCAGCACCTCATCACCGAAGGAAAAGGTGCGCTTTTGCCCGAGCAACCCACCGCGACAATCACGAAACACGTTCGACCCAGACTCACGCGGTTGCCATTTGGACTCGCGTGAATTCTGACGATGATCCAAAAGTCACAATACTCCCATATCAATGACTCGTTGCATTTTGGTCTCACATTTTGATGGCTTTGTATTAAAATGGATGACACTTTCAGTCGTGACGTGGCAGCAACCAGCAATGTTAAAAGGCAGCCCAGAGAATGAAAGCCGGCTAGTTATCAGTGGCCAGGAGTGAAGATTGGATTTCCGTACCTTCGCATTTTGCTATTGACGTTCCCGAATGACTGAATGGCCACTTCCAATGGAGATGGATGGCTCGTTGTGGTCCGTGCGAGTGGAAACGGGGACTTCTTTTTCCCTCGCCTTATCGAAAGCCACATATGTCACATATCCATCCATCAACTTTCCGATCTGCTTTCTCTTCACAAGGCAAGGGTCACGGGGCGTGCCAGAGCCTATCCCGGCTGTCTTCGGGCAGTAGGCCGGGTACGCCCCGAACTGGTTGCCAGCCCATCGCAGGGCACACAGAGACAAACAACCACTCGCGCTCACGCTCGCACCTCGGGACAATTTGGAGTGTTCAATCAGCCTGCCACGCCTGTTTTTGTAATTTGGGAGGAAACCGGAGTACCCGGAGAAAAGCCACGCTAGCACGGGGAGAACATGCAAACTCCACACGGGGAGAACATGCAAACTCCACACAAAATTTCAAAGGTGAACTTGGGTTTTGTTTGGTTATATATATATAGATATAGATATATCTATATCTATATAGATATAGATAGATAGATCTATCTATATAGATATATATTTGAAACACACACACACAGTATGTCTTAAAAAAACCCATCAACTTTTTATTCTTATCCTTGCTTTCTTCTTTAATCTGTCTTCTTCAGTGAGGATTAAGTGCGGGGAGCTGGTGAAGAAAATCGCCATCTACAAAAACCGTCTGGCCATCCAGCTGCCCGAGAAGATAATCATCTACGAGCTTTTCTCCGACGACGCTTCGGACATGCGCTACCGCATCAAAGAGAAAATCCTCAAGAAGTTTGAGTGCAACCTGCTGGTGGTCTGCTCCAATCACATTGTCCTGTGTCAGGTTCGAAGGGCTTCGCCGTTTCTTTTGTCTCCGAGTACGGAGTGGCCGCTGGGGCGGGGGCTCGTTTTCCATGTGCCCGGTAAATGTTGCGCAGGCCCCGTCTCGCCACGACTCGTCACAACTCCCAAAAAGTCAGTCACGAGTGAAGGCGAAAGGACCACATGAAGCCCATACACTGTGCGCCTCTGTGTCTTGTCTCGGTGTGTTTGACAGACACCGTTGGGGAGGAGAAGCTGCCATAACACATAGCTTACCTCCTTTTAAATCATTCCGATCTTCCTCTCACACACACGCACACACACACACACACACACGCACACACACTTGCGCGTGCTCACGGTTGATCCTTTGGACAGCTTTTCGACACTCCAAATGGGCTGTTTTCATGTGGGATGTCGGCCTCGACGTCAAAGCAAGTCTTTGTTTATCTTTCCAGCGTCCTGTTTGTACTCTTGTTTGAATAAAAGAGCAGTCGGCCCAGAGTTGTTAAGTGTTGATGCCCCCCCCACCCCTCCCCAAAAAAAAGGTGCTTGAAGGAAATGAGGCAGGTGATTTACACACTGTGACGTGATCTCAAGCGAAGCACTTTCCGCTGATGTGTTTTCCAGGAGAAGCGGCTTCAGTGTCTGTCCTTCGCCAGCGTCAAAGAAAAAGAATGGCTCATGGAGTCTCTCATTCGCTACATCAAAGTGATCGGTGGGCCGCCGGGCCGGGAAGGCCTCCTGGTGGGCTTAAAAAACGGAGCGGTGAGTATGTCCGCATCTTTGGGAAAATACGGGTTAGCCGAAGCGGAGGTGCGATTCTCGGACGGATACGGTCGCGTCGGAGCATTTGCAACATCGTGAAACGTCAGCCGGCGTCGTTCTCGTGATTGGGAGTCGAGGGAATGAGCGAATCATTGCCATCCTTCACTTCTTCCTTCCTCCCGAAGCACGGGCAAAGTTAGCATTTATTTACTTCTTTATTTTGGGCCGGCCATTTTAGCTTCCTCTTTAGGTCCGCAAGTTGAAGTGGCCAATCCAACCGGACTTAGCATTTTTTGTTGAATTTCTTTTTTTCGTCTTGGGGAAATCCTGTCATGTTGCAAATATTTCACCAACATTCCCCTCAAACTTGCATTGATGCGCTGATGCTTTGCACGAAATGTCATCGGGCCGTTTCTCCTGCAGATCCTCAAGATTTTTGTCGACAACCCGTTTCCCATCACGCTGCTCAAGTTGTCAACGTCAGTGCGATGCCTGGACATGAGCGCCTCGCGAAAAAAGCTGGCCGTGGTGGACGAGCACAACACTCTCCTGGTCTACGACATTATCAGCAAAGAGCTGCTTTTTCAGGTCGGTGAGCGGCGCGTTTCCCCTTACAAAAAACACAACGCAGTGTTTACATTGGATAGAAAGCGTCGACACCCCCCTGTTCGAATGGTCTATTTTTCTGATGGAAAAAATGTGAGCCCAACGGTAGTCATTTCAAGTCTTCTTGTCTTTTTGTCATTGGACGAGCCATGTCCGGGTCTTGTTCATGTCACTATTTTACCATTTTTTTCCACTTCATGATATCTGTTTGCATTGTGTGTGTGCGTGTGAGAGAGAGAGAGAGACATACATACATATATATTTTCCTTTTTTTGTGTTATGCCTTGGAAATAGCCTGTCGTGCGCTTTTTCCCGACTGCTACTTTTGAACATTGGGCTCTCGCTGATGCTGCAAAAACATGAGGAAAAGCCCACTCGAAGAGCCAGCTGGATTTCGGGTTATTCAGAGGCACGGGCGGGTGTGCGCTGTCTCCCTTTGAACCCTGTGAGTGGTTCATTCTCAGCACAGCCGCGTCCCGACGTCGAAGAGGCGGCGCCCACTTTGCAACCGTATTTTTTTTATTTGTCTCACCTTTGTTTATCCAGTAACGCATTGGAGAACAGATTCTCACTTGCAATGCTAACCCGGCTCCCGGAAAGAGAGCAATTAACGGAGTAAACATGACCTTATTTTCTTTATTTGGTTTTTAACTTGCCCTCTGTTCAAGCTTTATTTATTTGAATTTTTTTTTTCAATGGACTTGTCCAGGTAATAGCAGAGGTGGCCATTGTCAGGCCCTTGACTCGGTCAGCGAGCTGCCGTCAGTATTTCAGGCTGAGAGAGTCCGTCCCAAGTCGAGAATGGACTTAGTGGTCCTACGTCACACGCAGGTGCCGCACACCTGACACGCAGAAAAACAGAGAAAACGGCGTCGTATAGCTTTTGAGTCCCACAGACCTTTTTTGGGGGGGAGGGGCTGCGTGTGATGCGTAAACTGACTTCTCGACGCCGAATGGCCGTCCCCGACACGGGACGGACTGGACCCTGAAATACTGACGGGAATGGTGACGGACCGGCCGACCTGTCAGTCTGACGGAACGCCCCCCCTCCCCCC